TTTATAGATTCGTTGGTTCACTCTAGTTCATGCTCTGACCAGAGATCAAACCCACAACCTTGGTGCATCAGGATGACACTCTAACCAACTGAGCTACCCAGGCTCCTGCTAATGTTTTATGCCAATTTAATTCTTAGACCCCGTTGAACACCCTAAGAAGGGAGAGGTAAAAATTGGTCTCCTGATAATGATTACACAGTTACCCTCCAAAGCTGGAACTATAAGGAAGACAGTGTTCCTTTCACTTCAGTAAGAACATAGTTTCTCGGAGCAGACAAAATGGCAAGGACACTGGTGTGGGATGGGGTGACATGACCCTCTGGTGGCTTCTCACTTTTAAGAATGGGGTCCATGTGGTGCAATGTTATAAGGGCAGTTTATTGCAAGTTAAGTTTACCTTCTACAGGGGTAATCATGGGGTGATAGCTACAGCCTTTCATTTACATAAAAGTAGAGATGTGCACAGGCTGTGTTTCCATTTAAAAAGCTGACTTTTAAAAGCATCCTCTGGTTCTGCAGATGCTGAGAAATAAACTGATGTAAACACAAACAATTGTAAGTATGAATTAACAGCAGAGTGAGGGCTTTCTAAAGCAGAGCTGATAAGTAAACTTCAGGGACCGGCAGCACCCATAAGGTACTTCACTTGATAAAGCTTCTAGGCAGGGTGTTCAGAGTCTCTGAACACATCTAGCTGTGCAGTGCAAAGTGATGGAGGAACCTGTGTTCAATCCAAAGAGCTAGCAGTTAAGGGTCACAATTTTTCACTGACTTTTTGACATTTCAGGTTACTTATTTGTGATTGGTCACATTTTTAGATGAATCAACTCACTTGTCCAATTTGTATTTATTTAGAACCCGAGAGTGAGAATGAGCATGGCCTATTTGGGCTTGTGTAAGCATCGGTAAACTGAGATTTTCCCAGCATCACGCCCTGAGCTGTAGCCCACCCATACATCATCTCATCTAATCCTAACACCACCCTTTTGATGTAGCTATCAATATCTCTCTTACATGGAGGAGAAAACGGAGGCTCAAGGACGTGAAGGAACTCGGTCCAGGTCACTTAGCAAATAAGCTGTGCAGCCAGAATTTTAATCTAGGGAAGGCCCTAATAACCAGTTTGGACTTTATTGTACAGACAATAATATTGTAATATTGTAATTCTGCAGATCTATAGAGCATTTTGGTTCTCCAACTGGGGAATTACTCCATTAAAATGAACAGAACGAAGAGCTGTCGGGTGGCATAATACAGGATTCACAGGCGAAGGAAAGAACTGGACTGCAGAGAGATCAGATAGAAGGTTGTGGTAGCAACGCAGGCCTGGGAGGTGGAGTTCCTAGAGCTTGGAACTAGAGAACCTGGTTCCAGCCTGTCTGTACCATGATGCTCCTGACTGGGGAACCGCAGGCAAGTTATAGCCACATCTTGAAGCCTCCTTACTCCTCCCTAAATACTGTGTTGATAAATCGAGACAACAAAATCTCTTGGTTCTTTCAAATTCTAAAATTCTGCTTGATGCCTTTAAATGATAATTTCTAAACGTTTATATATGAAGGCCTTACACATCACCCAGAATCCAGAAAAGAATTTAGATGTCATAATTCTTAACGAAGTCTTCTTTTCGAAGAACAAAAGAGTAGAATTGTTTTTAAGAAAGCTTTCTAAACCAGACAAGCCCATTGTTTCTGCATCTTACTGTTTCTTTGTTTAAGAAAATGATTTGGGTATTGCTGTTATAGCAGTCATCGATGAATCCAACAGGAATATTACCCTTGAAACAAATGAAATGATTTAAACCCATCCCTCAGAAATTTTATGAAAATATACCTAGGAGGCACAAATTGTATTGGCATCATATTAATTTGTTTTCTGAGCTCAAATTTAATTGAAAATGTGACATTTCTTTAAATGGTTCAATCAACAGACTTTAAAGGGGTTTTAGATGGTGAACACAGGAAATAAATACAGTAATGTTGGGGTAAATAATCAACAAAACAGTTTTTCTGTGTTCTGTGGCTTATGATGCTTCTAGAAAGTATTTTTAACAACTCTCTGAGGAATTGGCTCTTGTTGGTGTGAAGCCAGGCTCCTCTCTCAGCTCACATCTGCCAACTTTCCTCCATCCTCATATTCTATAACAAATCCATTTCCAAGCTCTACTGAGCCCTTGGTTTCTGTGTTTCCTTTCTCATCTACAAAGACTGTGAGGTGGGGTTCTCATTCCTGGGTTGCAGAAATGGACTTAGAATAACCCGAAGAGCAAAGGAATCTTCCTGAAATAAAGCTTTCATCATACCATTTCTATTATTAAAACCATTTGGGATCCCATTGCTTATAGGATGAAATCTAAATTCTGCAACTGAGATCCCCATTCTTTCAGCCAGGCTAGTGCATTTGCTTTCTTTAGACTTTAATCCTTCACATCTGAGATTTTTCTCCTTGGAAATTTCTGTTCTTTCATTCAGCCAGCTCATGACCATCGCCTCCTTCATTCTATCTTGAAACTCATTTCCTTCAGGATGTTTTCCTGGTTTCATAGCTACTTAGCAAATAAACAAACTTCTGTTTTTAAGCTTTGAACCACATTAAGTGTCTTTAAGATAAACTATACAAGTCTAGGGGTAAACAACTTACAGTTTTCATTCTTTAAGAAACCACCCACCAATAAACTAGGGGGGGAAAAAGGAAAAGAGAAGAAAGAAAGAAAGAAAGAAAGAAAGAAAGAAAGAAAGAAAGAAAGAAAGAAAGAAAGAAAGAAAGGAAGGAAGGAAGGAAGGAAGGAAGGAAGGAAGGAAGGAAGGAAGGAAGGAAGGAAGGAAGAAAGGAAGAAAGAAAGAAAGAAACCACCCAGTAAAAACGTAATCGTAATACGTAGAACAGACTGACAGCTGTCAGAAGGGGGTTGGGGGGCTGGGTGAAAAACGTGAAGGGATTAAGAAAAAAAAAATACAGACAACAGTATGGTGATTGCCAGAGGGAAAGTGGGGTGCGGGTGGACAAATACGGGATGAATGGTGGCGGAAAGAGACTTTAATTTGGGTGGTGAGCACACGATGCAGTATGCAGATGATGTGTTACTGAGTTGTATCTCTGAAACCTGTATGGTTTTATTAACCAATCTCACTCACATAAAATCAATTAAATGTGTAAAAAAAAAGAAACACACAATGATATATATATAAAATTATTATTTTTTACATTGTGATAGAGGACACTCCAATTTTTAGCTGTGTTTTCGCTAGGAAACCACACTAGACCTAGGGCTAAATGACTCTTTTTTGGTGACCTCTAGTGGGCACGAGACAATCTTACACAATTATGAAAAGTAAAGTAAAAACCCTTCCCAGTAACCGGCTGGATTACTCTCAGGTCAGATGACCGCATCCCACCCAGCTCCACCCTTATTTTTTCTCTCAGTATTTGTTTTGAATTTAACATAGTTTTACCTTACGACTCACCTGTTTTACTTCTGCGCGGGCTGGGCTGCCAGTGCCAGATGTGTGAATTGCTAATGGCAGTTTAAAATAATAACTGCCAAGTGGAATCCACTGTCTGGGCATTGACCATGGCAGAGCACAGGGGCAGTTGGTTCTGCGGGGTCTTAAGCGGCTCTTAAAGCTCCGAGGGCCGGAGCTGCAGCCAGCTTGGGGGCGCACGGCGGCAATCAGGACTCTATGAAAAGGAGGATGCAGACGAAGGCAACGAGCAATTCTTGCTAGTGACAAGGCGATTCTCCCCAGACTTTTCACCCCGCTCTAGAGGAACAGTCAGGATAGGGTCCAGGCGCACTACCCGTAGGTGCTCTCTTAGGACCAGTGTCCCATAAAGCGAGAGCTGGGGCCGCTCTCCTCCGCGGGAGGGTGGCACTGAGGTTGGGTGCTGGGGTCTGCGGCCGCCTTCTGAACACGCGGTTTGTTATCTCAGCGCCAGGAGAGGAAGAGCAAAGTCGACACGAAAAGCAGTTGCTGGGGTGCTTTCTCTGAGAAATCCTTTGGGCGGTCTTAGAAACCGAACTGCGTTCTGGATAGTTTCTCGAAAAAGCTCTCCAAACGCCGTCTGTCCCCGCCCCTTAAATCCTGCACTCCAGTTCTCAACCCTCCCTATCACTCTGTCGCCTCCCTTTGGGGCTGTAAGAAGGGCCCTTGGGGGCTGCCCAAGTCATCCCGATGGCTCCGGGCGGGACGCTGGAGCAGGCACCCCGGCCACGGGGCTTGACTCCCTCTTCCATTCAGAGGTTCCCCGCTTCAAACCTCCCAGCCCCGCGGACCCCTCTTGGCCACTGCAGGAGCGGAGGGGGAGGACGGCGTCAGAAGGCGGGGAGCCCGAGGTCCAGGGCGGGGCGCCGGGGAATCCCAGCTAGAGCAAGCCCGAGAGGTGCGGGCGGGAAGAGGAGGGAGGCGCGCGTTGGGAGGTGAGCCGAGCGGAGCCGGGAGGCGAGGAGGCCCCGCCCCCGCCTCTCTGAGCCGGCTCCTTGCAACCTCTGAAACCGCTCACTTTGCTTCTTGCCTCTGGACGGCGGCGGGGCGGTTGCCACATCCGCGGCCGGAGGGAAAGCCGGGGATCAGAAGCCATCCCGCACCGGCTTCCTCTCTCGGCACCCGCGCCCCTTCGGAGGAAACAGCGTCCTGCTTTGAAGAGGACACCCCGGCCTTGGAGGGGGTACCCCGCGGGCTCAAGGGGCGCCGGCGCGGACAGCATCAGTCTCCGCCAGTGGGGCGCAGAGCTGTCGCCGGAGGGGTCTCCCCGGACGCCTGCAGGTACCGCTGCGCGGAGGGAGTGCCAGTAGGAGCGACGCCGTGCTGCCGAGGAGGCTAAAGCCTAGGGTTCCCGGGCCAGAGAAGGGCAGAAGCGGAGCTCGGAGGCAGAGTGGGCCAGACAGCCCGCGGGCCCCGACGGCGCGCTCCCGGATCGGCCAACATCAGGCAGATCCTGCTCGGCTAGGGGGCCGCGGCGCCTTCGGGCCTCGGGGCCTCGGGGCCTCGGGGCGGCCAGCCATGACCTTCGGGAGCAGCGGGGCGGCCTCCGTGGTGCTGAATGTGGGCGGCGCCCGGTACTCGTTGTCCCGGGAGCTGCTGAAGGACTTCCCGCTGCGCCGTGTGAGCCGGCTGCATGGCTGCCGCTCGGAGCGCGACGTGCTCGAGGTGTGCGACGACTATGACCGCGAGCGCAACGAGTACTTCTTCGACCGGCACTCTGAGGCCTTCGGCTTCATCCTGCTCTACGTGCGCGGCCACGGAAAGCTGCGCTTCGCGCCGCGGATGTGCGAGCTCTCCTTCTACAACGAGATGATCTACTGGGGACTGGAGGGAGCACACCTTGAGTACTGCTGCCAGCGCCGCCTCGACGACCGCATGTCCGACACCTACACTTTCTACTCGGCAGACGAGCCGGGCCGCGACGAGGTGCGACCTGGCGGTGCAGAGTCAGCCCCCACCAGGCGCTGGCTGGAGCGCATGCGGCGGACCTTCGAGGAGCCCACATCGTCCCTGGCCGCGCAGATCCTGGCTAGCGTGTCGGTGGTGTTTGTGATCGTGTCCATGGTGGTGTTGTGCGCTAGCACACTGCCCGACTGGCGCGCCGCAGCAGCCGACAACCGCAGCCTGGATGACCGGAGCAGGTACTCCGCCGTCCCTGGGAGGGAACCCTCCGGGTAGGACGCACTGCTTCTTTGCCCGTCGCGTCCGTCCTGTCACGTTCGTTCGTCCAGTCCGTCGGTTCCGTCTCCGTCCTGTATGCCTCTGGGCGGCCAAGCCAGTTTTGGTTTGGGGCCCAGCGAAGCCCGAGGCGCGGCCAGCAAGGGACGGGTTGGTGCTCACTTCCCACCCCTATTTCCCTGGCACAAGTCAGCTCTCGTCCACACGCTTAGACACCCCTCTCGTGGACCAATCGCCGGGCATGGGGAAGGGCAGATAATAGTTTACTTTTGAGCAGTTAGCAACCGGTTAATTAGATTTCTCTAAACTTTTATTGGTAGCATTCAACAATTTAAAATTGAGCTAAAAGCAGTTTGAATTATTTGCCAGTTTTTAGTGGTTTTGAAATGACAAAGTCTTGTTATTATGAATGTGGTCTGCTATACACTGCCTACACATTCTTCACACTCTATACAATATGTACTGTAATGGAATTGTTATACAGAAGATTCAGTTAACGATAGACTCTAAATAATGGATGTCTGTGCACTTTGCTCTCTTCCTACAAAGCAGGGAGTTAACAAAGCACCTGCCCACCCTGTAGTGCCGAAGATTCACACTGTAGCATTTAGAGGGATCTTCAGTATGGGAAGGAAAAAAACCATTACCTTGGTAGAAGAGAAAAATCTAAACTGCCCTAAATTTAGGAACAGTATTTGAGTAGTTAATTTTTTTTTTCACTTTAGGATGAAAAGAAAATATTTAAATCTTTCCTTAGATCATTCTTACCTGAGTAAAGCTGGACTTTCAAGGGAGACATCCTTTTTAGGCACAAATATAAAATTGCATATTTTGTTTTACCTTTGATACTGTTTTAAGATTCCCCTTCATTCATTTTTTAAATTAGGTAGCTTCAGGTAATCTTTTCCTGATAGGCATGCGCATGTTTCTAATGGTGTTATCTGCCTTGATATTGCAGTGGGTGTCTCCACTTAATATTCTCCCTTTGGAGAGTAAAGATTTTTGTACAAATCTAAGAAGTAAATAAAATTGTCTAATACCATGGAGGCCACTACTGATATGACATCTTGGAATGAAATCCAAGATATGTGCTTTGGAAAGAAATTCATTAGGAAGCTAATTCTGTTTAATGTATTAGGTTTTGAGTTTTCAAATTACCAGTAAGAATACTTACTTGGTACTACAACAGTACAATGAAATTAATTTATATACCTAAATATGTAAGTGCCCTTGATTCTCTTAGAGGGCCATAGGAAAATGATTGACCTTGAAATGATTTACTAATAATTGTAGAATTGTAAGGTTAGTGAAGGTTGAGGCTACATTAGCAAAAGAAGCAGGAGGATTGAGTTATTAGTACACATATTTAGGGAACTGACTAAATCAGTATATAAGCATAAACAGTCAAATAAGCTAAATAAAATTTGGGGGCCATGGGAGAGTTTGGGGAGGAGGGAAGGGCAGTCTGGAGATCATTAATATAAAACACTCGGGAAGAAATGGGAAACAAGAATAATAATTTGAGGGAGAGGGAGAGAAACCAAAAAGGGAAGAGACAGATGGAAAAGAGGAAGACTGCAAAAGAAGTGAAGGAAGAAGACAAGAGTAATGCTTAATTTGTGTATATGTGTTTTATGTATGTATATAATTATTCAAGTCAGCACTGTTTCCTAGATACGCAGATATTTCAGGCAAAAGCGTCCTTTTCTTGGCTTAATGGCCCAGTTTTAAGCTTCACTCTGATGGCATATGAAAATCAATATCTGTTATCCCAAACAGATAAACCGGAGCATGACTGAATGGCTGAGGAGGCTGCACATTATGGAGGAAGCCTCCCACAGGCCTCCTCCAACCCACAGGGCCCCTAAGCTGGCACTTCGAACGGAACTCCTCAGCCCCTGCTTGCTTATGGTTGCTGAAGTAGCCTTTCTAAAGCATCACTCTGATCACTGATCATATTTGGCACCTGCCAAATAAAGTCAAAACTTCTCTCTTGGTCTTCAAGGCTCTTTATTGCCACAGTGTGCCTTTCTTCACTTAGCACATTGTAATTTACAAGCATCTTTGGAGTATCTGCTGTGTTCAAGGCACTGTTGGTGTGCAAATATTACAACTTTTTTCTGTGTGTGTGGTGAAGAAAAGGTATCAAGTTGGTGATGTAGAAACCAGAGGTATGGTTCATCAACAATGGAGTTGTTCTGAGAAGGCCTTGAAGGTGTAGGAGGATGGAAACAGCCATCTTTGGAAGGTTGCAGAGGTTGTACAGTGGCAGGGGGTATCATTTATATAAACTATAGTGTTCACAACCAAGTGTGTCCCACCTGAAGAATTTTCCAGGTAAAAGAAACAGCCTGGGCATAGGCTTGAAATTTGGATATTATGTTGAGTCGGTATGAGTCCAGTGATGGAATGAGAGGTAGGAGAGGAAATGTTCGAAGGCCTGGAATTAAGGGTCTTTGCAAGCTGTAATTAGCCATCAGTGGGTTTGGGGTGAGTGAGTTATGCATATAAAGTAATGTCATGGGTTGTGCACTGTGGATTGGAGATGGAGGAGATTGGAAACACAGAGGATGAGTTGGGAGATCTATCTGTAAGGAGGGAATGAGAGCTTGGATTGCTCTGAAGTGGTGAGAATGGAGGAGAAATGACAGCTCTGGGAGATATGAGGAAGAATCAAAATTAATCCAGGGCATTGGAAGGTTGCAGGCTCAGGAACTGATTAGACTTCCAGGAGCTAGGAGCACTTCCGCCACCTGCAGGCTCTGTCTGCCCAGACTGGCCACACCATGGGCTCTGCATTCTCTTGCCTGTTGAAACTGGATCGTACATCAAGCGCAACTCAGATTCTATTTCTCTTTTGAAGCCTTTTCTGATTACCCTAGTAAATGTGATTTTCCTCTTGAATTTCTTGAGGGATTGCTTACTTGTGCTACTTATTTGGCATCTATAATATCTTTCCTAGCATGGTCATTATTTTTTCATATTAACATGTCCTAGCTTCTAAACTAGATGAGTTGAAAAGCCTGAGACGACAGCTAAATTCTCTTATACTATTTATTATGAAAGCATCTTCTAGGAAAAAAATGATTATTCTGGTACAATAAATATCTACGGTTTATACTGCATTTCAGAATATAAACTTCCAGGAATATATCTTTCCTTGCAGATGTTGAAGAGCTGTGTGTGGTAAGGCTGTGGTCTTCAGGTGGCAGAAACTCTTAGTTGAGGAGGACAGGATCCTGTGCTAGAACTAGAAAAATGTTGGGTGAATCAAGCAATGATTATTTGTGAAGAACTTATTGCGCAACAGCAATACAGATAAGAGTATGATTTCTTCTAATTAACCTGAAATTTTGGAATGACACACAATCTGAAGTTTGGAAGAAATCTTTTTTTTTTTTTAAGATTTTTTAAATTTGTTTTCAGAGAGAAGGGAAGGGAGGGAGAGAGGGAGAGAAACATGAATGTGTGTTTGCCTCTGGCACCCCCCAACCTGGGAACCGACCTGCAACCCAGGCATGTGCCCTGAAAGGGAATCAAACCAGCGACCACAGAGCCAATCCACTGAGTCACACCAGCCAGGGCTGGGGGAAATCTTGAGGGGTTTCTAAATCAATAATGTGAAAAATTTTTGTGTGTGGATATGATCTTTTAAATTGATTTGTTTTAGATGGTTAATAGTCATATAAATGATAGTTTAAAGTCCAAAAGCTACAAAAGCAAGCCTTTCTCTATTACTTAACCATTGAGTTCTTTTCCATAGAAGTTACCAAAGTTATAGCATTTTCTGTTATTTCAAAGACATTTTAGATATTTACAAAACATATTATATATATTTTCAAAAACAAAAAAGCAGTGTGATAACACTGTCCTGAAATTTGATTTATTAACTTACCAACATGTCATGGAGATTGTTCCATATGAGTCTATGAAGAGTTGCCCTATTCTTTAAATTATTTTTTAAAGATTTATTATTTATTTATTTTTAGATAGAGGGGAAGGTGGGGGGAGAAAGAGAGGGAGAGAAACATCAATGTGTGGTTGCCTCTCATGTACCCTCTGCTGGGTATGTGGCCCACAACCCAGGCATGTGCCTTACTGGGAATCGAACCAGGGACCCTTTGGTTCGCAGGCTGGTGCTCAGTCCACTGGGCCACACCAGCCAGGGCGAGTTGCCAGATTCCTTTTTTGCAGCTGCATAATATTCCCTGGTGTGGAATAATTTCTGGACATTTATATTGTTTCTTATCTGCAGCATATGCTTTAGTAAATATCCTTGTGCATGTGCATTATTTTGCTTTTATTAAATTATATCCATAGGCTAAATTCCTGAAAGTGGTAATAGGGCATGGAGACTTTTAATTTTTATAGATAATTCCGAATTACTCTCCATAAAGATTGTATCCACTTATACTCCTACAAGCAATGTATGAGAGAGTGTATTTCTTCATAATCTACAATCTTTATCATGCAAAAAGGTGAAAAATGGTATCTAGTAGCTTTAATTTGTTTTTTTATTTTGAGTAAAAGTTTGTCTTACCATATATTTGGAGTCCTTTATTTTACTTTTTGGTGAGTTATTTTACCTTTTGCTCATTTTTGTCAATGACTCATAGTTTAAAGGTTTTTTAAAGATATTAAGAAATTAGCCCTTTGTTTATGATACGCATTACAAATATTTTATTTTCTAATTTAGGACCTCATTAAAAGAAAGCCATGTTTTCCTTAGGACATAGTAGCTGTGCTTTTAATATCTATTTATTGAGGAAAAAATACATACATGATTAAAAAATAATTGTAAATTCTAACCATTTGTCAACCGGTTTTTGATTCCTGTCACTGTGCCAGGCGCTGTGGGCACAGAGGTGCATAAGACAGGGCTTCTAGTCTCAGGGAGCTGGTAGACTAGCGGTGGTAGTGAGAGGGTAGACAAATAGCAATGTCAGCAAATAAATAAGAATTTGAGATATTAAAAACAGAGTCTAGAATACGACAG